GGGAGGAAGGAAGGAAGGAAGGAAGGAAGGAAGGAAGGAGAGGATGATCAGTTGTGCTGGGATTCCCCTCACTGTCTTACTGAGTTGCCCAGGAGGCTCCTCTGAGGCCTAGGAAGGCAAAAAATGGAGGGAGAGGGGCACATCCCCCCGCCCCGCACTCCATGTTTTTCCTTCCTGGGCCCCAGGAGAGAAAAAACACCCCCCCACGAGGCTTGCCTGAGGCCCACAAGGCCCCAAAATGGGAAGTGCTGCAAAAAAACCCACGCCCACCCAGTTACCTGGCCACGCCCACCTAGCCACACCCACAGAACCGGTAGTAAAAAAACGTTTGAATCTTGCCCCTGCAGCGGTAGGATTTGCCAGTGCTCTGAACCGGCCACAATTTCCCGCTACCGGCCTGCCAGAACCTGTCCAAACCTGCTGAATGGCCCCCCCCCCCCGGTGGACTAGGGAGGGCCAGAAGCCCCGAGAAGCGCTCTGACTGACCAATCCCTGAAGAAGCCCTTTCTCCGATCTCTCCTGGGGCTTTGCCCGCTTACTCACCCCGCTCTTCCACTCACTCAGCTTTACAGTGTGATCATGGGATGGAGTATCACCCCTGCGGCCCCGCCTGTCCTCCGACGTGCCAGAACTTCGGCTTGGAGCCTGCCGAGCACTGCCCTCTGGAGACGGCGTCCTGTGTGGAGGGATGCTTCTGTCCAGAAGGCAAAGTATTGCATGGTGAGATAAGAGAGGGGCAGCGGTCGTGGGGTGAAGGGGAGGGCAGCGTTGTCTGGCACCCACGGACAGAGCCAGGGGGCAACCGGGGAAGAGGAGGGGGAGCGGGGGTGTGGAAGGCCTTCCTGGGGACGGTGGCAGGGAAGGTGGAGAAGACCAGAATTGGCTGCGGACGGTGTCATTCCCAGAAATCAAAGCAAGGGGATCTTATGCAGCGTTAGGAATGCTGCCCGTGTCACAACCGGTTTGTTAATTGCACTCAGCTTTCAAAATTACTTACCTTTGATGTTACTTTGGGGAAGTAACCCAGCTGAGGCGCGGCAGTCTGCTCTGCCACGTTGTTGTAGTTAGCTGGCAGCAGGTGCGGATGGCCGAGGAGAGCGAGGACTCAGATGAGGGGCCAGGACCATCAGGGAGTGGACTGCTGCCTTCGGAGATTGTGGGGGCTGGCAGCAGCGATGAGGAGGTTCCCGAGGAGCCTGTGCTAAGTGCGTGTGCGTGCAGGGCTGCTCGTAGGAAAGAGCAGTTACAACAGCACAGGCAACTTGTGAGTAAGGCTGCAAGATATTGGCCCCTCCTTCAAGAAGATAAAAGGCAGCTGTGAAGCAAATGTTCTTTGTAGGAAGCAAAGACATTTTGAAACTCAGCCTCGCGGACATTCCTGTATCTTAAGTTGGTATCTTGTGTTGTGAAATATTTCTTATCTGTGATTCTTGGCAGCCTCACACAGTTCTGGTGAGGCTTGTGCTTATCAAAGTTAATTACTTCGCAGCAGCCTTTTAACCGGGGATTCGTAAAAGTCATTAAAAGGTTTCTGTTCCCTTTGATTATTGTTTGTCTTATTGGAAAAGGGTTTGGGTCAGAACATACGTGAATCAGCTGAGCAGATATAGGTGAGTGCAGCGCAGGGGTGGGCGGGCACACATGATCGCCGGAGCGAATCAGCCAGCTGAACATTGGAGCTAGGGGTTCGCCCGAATTGGTCCGGAACGGCAGAATCTCAGCCCTGATCTCATGGCCAAACAAAAGCTAGGTGGATAGGTTGAATACACACACACATGCACGCACACACACACACACACAATCAGAGCTGCCACTGCTTGGTGCCAGTCTGCCATGAACTCTGGGGTGGGGGATAGCCGGATGGGCAGGGGGGACGTGAAAAATGACGCTGTGTCTTCCTGAGACACGGCTCCAAGGCCAGACCTCTGAGAACGGAACATAGCTGCGTACCACACCACAAACTTCAGGTAACCGTTCCAATACCGGAATGGTAATGGGAAGTGCTTTGGGGAGGGGGGCGGTTTCGCTGGGGGGAGGGAGAATTCGGGGCATGAATTCCCAGCTCTGGCTTTGCCCTGCTGTCATCCACTTGACTTCTAGGAATCCATTCCTTTCTTGGCCAAACGGAGTTGAGGATCGTCCTTGCGTAGAGGTTGAAGCTGGGACAGGACCGACAGAGAGAGGGAGTAGGAGACAGAGGGGAAGGGAAGGAGAGAGAGCTGGAGGTTGTAGGATGCTTCACCAGCAGTCAAGACCTTCAGCCTTAGCTAAGATGCTGAGTCTTGTAAACCTTCTGGTCAGATCCACAGAAGACAAGCTGCCATGTCCCCGTTGGAGTCTGACTTCAAGGGAGAGGAGGAACAGCCAACAGGGAGTGGGAGTGTGGCTCCGGAGGTTGTGGAGGAAACTGGGGAAGGGCATGAGAGCAACAGAGAAAGGTCCAGGCCCATCCCCTCTTCACCCTAAGGCATGCGGGGAGGAGCAGATAAGAGAGAAACGTGAATGGTGTGGTCTACGGGGGAGGGAGGGGCCCTGATCCCCTTCATGGGCTGCATCTGGGAGGACTGTTTAAAAGGACAAACTGCACATGGCCCAGTGCTGGAAGCAAAGCGTGGAAATAATTCTAGTCTTGCAGTTCTTATCTGAGTTCTGGCTTCCTTCCCAGTGTATGTATTTCGATATCTGTGGATGTCTTCAAGCGCTTATCCTGCCTGGTCTCACTAATTGCTTCAGTGTGGTTTGTGTTGTTTTTTCTGTTTATAATTTATATGTATTTTGAGTCTGAATGGCATTTTTTTCCTTTTCGCAACTGTTTGTGGGGGAGTTTTTTTTTTCTCCAGTCAATGATAATTGGACCTTTGAAGCCAAGTGGAAGGAATTAAAGGGACTTCACCTGTTTTTTGTGACTTTGTTGCTTTTGTATACCATCCTGGGTACACAAGCAAGGCAGTCCTTGACCAGGAGGGAAGTCTATTACTACTACTGACTACTACTAAGTCTAGCACTACTATTACTGTTAAATCTTGTCATCACTCCTTATCACTCCTCCCACTTGTGACTGTATGACTGTAACTTGGTTGCTTGGATCCTTACAATTTATATTGACTGTTTCCTAGTATGATTTGATTGCGTATTGTACCCTATGACTATCATTAAGTGTTGTGCCTGATGATTCCTGACTCTTGACGAATGTATCTTTCCTTTTATGGACACTGAGAGCATTTGCACCAAAGACAAAATTCCTTGTGTGTCCAATCACACTTGGCCAATAAAGAATTCTGTTCTGTTCTGTTCTATTCTATTCTCTATTTTCTATTCCTAATTCTTATTTCTATTCTATTCTATTCTATTCTATTCTATTCTATTCTATTCTATTCTATTCTATTCTATCCCCCACGGAGAGACACAATGCCCCTCCGACGCAGGCGCACGTCCTCTGCTGACCTCGGCCTTCTCCACCTTCCTTCTTTGTCTTCCCTGCCAGGCGGACGCTGCATTGACCCGTCCGAATGCCCCTGCTTCTGGGAGGGCATCTTATTCCCGCTGGGGGCGCTGATGACACAGGAGTGCAGGAACTGGTAAGCTATGGGAGTTGCTGGGGGAGTGTAACCCGTCATGAAGTGTCATGGTTTGCCGGAAGCCTGGGCAGCCAGCAGCAGAATCGGACAGTGGGGAGGATCATGGGCCAGTCCAGGAGTCTGGGGAGGACTCGGATGAGAGTCCTGCCTCCAATGGAGAGATGGGGCCAGGACCACCTGGGAGTGGGGTGCTGCCTCCAGAGTCTGGCAGCAGTGAGGCAGAGGACCCAGGGGAGCCTGTTCCTAAAGTGCGTGTATGCACAGAGCTGCTAAAAGATGAAAGCAGCTGAGACAAAAGGAGCGACTTGGGAGTAAGGCTGGGAGGTGATTGCCCCTCCCCTAAGGGATAAAAGTCAGGCCAAGATGATGAAACCTTTGTGGGAAGCAAAGCAGTCCGATCAGTTCCGAATCATCTGTACTTCAGTTGGTTTCTTTTCTAGTTCATTTGATACTTCTGTTTTTGGCAGCACTTCACAGAACTGAAAGGTGGGTGCTTATCTTGGGAAACCGTTTGAGCTTAATTCTGGCTGGGAATGAAAACAAGCCATCACAGATATAACAGATAACAGATCATCAGAGTTGGAAGGGACCTTGTAGGTCATCTAGTCCAACCCCCCTGCCCAAGCTGAACCATGAGACCCTCAAGGTCCTGATCGTCGTGGCTCGGGTGAAAAGCCCCCTCTGCCCCCGCATGCTAGTTATACATCCTCCTTGATTCAATAATGTTCTGTCCCCTCCATCCAGCTCATGTGAGGCCGGCCTGTGGCAATGTACCGCCCCTCCAGAGACTTGTGGCACCCCCTCCTCTCACTGTGCCGAATCGGAGTTTGCTTGCCGCACGGGAGGGCGCTGCATCCCTATGGCCTGGCTGTGCGACAACGAAGATGATTGTCGGGACGGATCGGACGAAGTCTGCCCTTTGAGCTGCCCTCCAGACCAGTACCGGTGTGCCGGCGGGCAGTGCATCCCCTGGGGGTACCGCTGCGATGGCGCCGCTGACTGCGCTGACCACTCGGATGAAAAGGACTGCCCCTCGCCCGGATGCTCGCCACAGGAGTTCCGGTGCAACAACGGGCGCTGCATCCCCCACCGGGACTATTGCGATGGGGAGCTGGATTGCGGTTTTGCCGACCCCTCTGATGAAGCAGGTGAGGAGCGGGAGGCACTGTGAGGGTTTTGGCCAGTCTAGAGAAAAGAAGACCCTCCGGGATTTGGGGAGGGGGCTGCCCCAAAGAAAAGGGGGTCAAATTATTCTCCGGAGCGCTAGAGGGAAGGGCAAAAAACAACGGATGGAAACTAATCAAAGGGAGGAGCAACCTGGAAGGAAGGATTTCTAACAGGGAGGACAATTCACGGGTGGAAGGTCTTGCCACCGGACATCGGGGTTGCTTCCTTGCTGGAGGCTTTCAAGAAGAGACAGGACGGCCATTTGTCTCACATGGTATTTGCTCTGGGGGTTGGACGGAAAGGCCTCCGAGGTCCCTTCCGGCCCTATGATTCCGTAAGAGAGGAAGGAAGGAGAGAGAGAGAGGAAATGTCCCTCCCTCCCTCCCTCCCTCCCTCCCCCTTTCCTTTCTCTCTCCCTCTCTCCTGCCATGTTTTCCTTCCTTCCTCCTTCCCTCCCCTCCCCTCCCCTTCCCTCCTTTCTTTCCTTCTTTCCTTCCTTCTCTTTTCCTCCCTCCCTCCTTTCCTCCCTCCCTCCTCTCCCTCCTTTTGTTCCTTCCGTCTAGCATCCCTTTCTCCCACCCTCTCTCCATCTTTGCCTTCCTTCCTTCAGTCTTCCCTCCCTCCCTCTCTTCCTCCATCTTTTACTTGCTCCCTTTCTCCTCCTTCCCTCCCTCCTTTCCTCCCTCCCTCCTCTCCCTCCCTCCTCTCCCTCCTTTTGTTCCTTCCTTCTCCCCTCCCTTCCTCCCTCTCTTCTTCCCTCCTTTACTTCCTCCTTTCCTCCCCCCTCCCCCCCTCCCCTTTCCTCCCTCCCTCGTTTCTTCCCTTCCTTCTATCCTCCCTTTCTCCCTCCCTCTATCTTTGCTTTCCTCCCTCTCTTCTAACAGTGAGAACAATTAACCAGTGGAACTGCTTGCCTCCAGAAGTTGTGGGTGCTTCATCACTGGAGGTTTTTAAGAAGAGACCGGACAGCCCCTTGTCTGAATAGGTAGAGGGTCTGCTGCTCAAGCCAGGGGCTGGACTAGAAGACCTCCAGGCTCCCTTCCAGCTCTATTCTGATGGAGTCTGGAAGGGCTGCCAGGCCGTCCAACAGTTATCAGCTGCCTTCGGAGTCAGAGATCAGTGGGGAAGAAGAACAGCCGGAGCCTGTTCCCATTGTGCGCATGCGCAGAGCTGCCAGGAGAAGGGATCAGTTAAGGAAGCAGGCAGGGAAAGAGGACGCCACAGCCATGGTGGCGTTTCCTGTCTACCCGGAGGGGCCCTGGGCCCTACCGGAAAGGCTCCGACACATCCAGGCTCATTTTGGTTGGCCTTCCTGGATCCTGGCCTTGTAGAGGTAATCCTCGCCTTACAGTGTGTTTCGTGACTGTTCTAAGTTACAACAGCATGGCTTATTACTGTTTTTCACGCTTACGACCATCTCACAGCCTCCCCGGGGTCTGGTGAGTATCCAAATTTGGACCGACTCATCCTTTACGATGCTTCAAGGGTTATGAGACCCTCTGACGAGCGGAGCCAAAGGAGGAAGCCTGGTTCATTTAACGACTGCCCGACTTGCTTAACAGAGGCAGGGGATTGGCTTCAGCGCTGTGCTCCCAAAATGGGGCAAAACTCCTCGAACCACCACAGCAGCGGAAATTGGGGGCTCAAAAGGCGGTCATGAGTCGAGGACTCTCCATATCTTGTCATCTCTCTGGATTTGAGCTGGAGACAATGGCGATAAGGCAACTGATGGGGTAGATGCGATCCTGAGGGAAGACTTGGGCAGAAGAAAAGGGGACGAGGGAGGAGAGACCACCATTCCTCCAGTCATTGTTGTGGTGACCTGGGGTGTGACACAAAAAATAAAGAATAAAGTCCCTTTAATGCCTCCAGCTTGGCCCCCAATGTCCGATTATCCTTGGCTGGAAATCAAACTCTTAAAGAAAACGGTTTACGGGGGGAGTAAATGCAGCCCGCACCCAAAGTCAAGTTAATTCAAAATAAAAAACGCAACACAAACCACAGTGAAGGAATCACTTCGGCAGGCAAGGATGATTAATTGCAGACTTCTAGATAACGCAGCAACCACAGTTGGGAGGAAGCCAAAACGCAGAGAAGCTCGGACAAGAATAATGCAAGCTTTGCTTCCAGCAACGTTGCCATGCGCAGTTTGTCCTTTTAACCCGTCCTCCCAGCTGCAACCCATGAAGGGGATCAGGGCCCCTCCCTCCCCTGTAGACCACACCACTCACGTTTCTCCCTTATCCGCTCCTCCCTGCGTGCCCTAGAGGGGATGGGCCTGGGTCTTCCTCTGACTGCCCAGCGGCCTGTGCCCTTCCCCAGTTTCCTCCACAACCTCCAGAGTCGCACTCCCTGTCAGCTGTTTCTCCTCTCCCTTGGAGTTAGACTCTAACAGGGGTGTGATAATCCTCTTCTTTTTTAATGACCCCATAATCCCTTGCGGGGCAACCGAATGGAGCTAGCAGAGTGTTTTCATGGCCGGATGCTTTTCCTGTTGCCAATGCGGAGTTTTGTTCAGCAGATATCTTCTTGGTGTGCCCAGAGAGAGGGAAATAGCTGCCTCTGCTTAGGAGCAAACTCACAGCCCCTTGTTATTTTATTCGAAGTAATCAAAGAAACAAATTAAAAAAACATGAGGAACCCGCTCGATTTTTGCTAGCCCCCCCCCCCCCCAAAACCTATACCCCTCTCTCCTCCCCCCGTTCCAGATTGTGGACCAGCCTGTAAGCTGAGTGAGTTCCGTTGTGCGGCTGGGCGCTGCTTGCCGTACCTGCATCGCTGCGACGGGCACGATGACTGCGGCGATTTTAGTGATGAACGCGACTGCGCCTGCCTTGCTGGGGAATTCCAGTGCCCGAGTGGTCTGTGCCTTCCCAAAGCTCTGGTTTGCAATGGCCGGCAGGACTGCCCCTCTGGCATGGACGAGACTTTCTGCCCAGGTGACTAAATGCTTGTGTTAATAAGTGTGATTAATTTATTAATTAAGGAGCCAGTTTGGTGTACGGGTTAAGGTACTGCCCTGAAACCAGGAGACCTGAGTTCTAGTCCGGCCTTAAGGAAGAAAAGTGATTGGGAGTTCTAGTCCTTCAGTAGGCATGAAAGTCTGCTGGGTGGCTGATGAGCAAGAGAAGGAAGAGCTGAGTCCAGTACCCGACACCCAGATGCACATAAGCAGAGGAGAGGAGAGCAGTGGAAATCTATGAGCCGGTCCTCGGGATGGAGGGGCCACTGCTGCTAGCAAAGCCCCACTCTAGCTATGGGGAGAAAAGGCAGGAAGATGGAGAACAGATGTTGCAGACAACCATTCATCTCCCAGACGGATGGACTTGTTAGCCAGCACTGAGAGAGAAACTTTTTGCCGAGGAGAGGAGAGCAGTGGAAATTTATGAGCCGGTCCTCGGGACGGAAGAGCCACCACTGCTAGCGAAGCCTCACCTGAGCTCTGGGGAGAAAAGGCAGGGGGCGGAGATGAATAGATGTTGCCAGACTTGTCAGGCTGTGGTGCGGGAGAAACTTTTTCACCAGGGCTGCCATCGCTCCTCATAAAGGAATCATGGAGTTCCACTGCAGAGGGTTTGTTGTGTTTGGGGAACTGGGTCAGAACAGGTTGGGGGACTCCTGATCTAGACAACTCATCCAGAAATGTCTAGAGCCTTGGTTCTAAGGTAAAGGTTCCCCGTGCTCGTTGTTTCTGGCTCTAAGGGGTGGTGCTCATCTCCGTTCCAAAGCTGAAGAGCCAGCGCTGTTCAAAGACGTCTCCACGGTCCTGTGACCAGCAGGACTAAATGCTGCCGAAGGCCCAGGGAACACGGCTACCTTCCCACCAAAGCTGGTCCCTATTTTTCTACTTGCATTTTTTTATGTGCTTTGAAACTGCTAGGTTGGCAGAAGCTGCTGGGACAAGGAACGGGAGTTCACTCCATGACGCGGTGCTGGGGATTTGAACTGCCCAGACTCGCCAACCTTTCCAATCGACAAGCTCAGCGTCTTAGTCCTTTGTTCTACAGCCTTTCCAAAGACAAGTGTTGGGGCTCTCTTCTCTTACTCAAGTATTCGGACAGTATGTAGGGCTGCCAGATGTTCTCCCGAAGGAGAGTCCAGAATGTTTCATTCTCTGTCCCCGACCCCATTCCCGCTCTCGTTATAGATCTGGTGATGTGCGCTCCAGGCCAGCTAGCTTGTCCAAATGCCACTTGTGTGAGCCATACACAGGTGTGTGACGGTGTACACGACTGCGATGATGGTACTGATGAGGACCCTTCTCGGTGTCCAGCGATACAGACCACCCCTCTTGTGCCCACCGTTTCGCCAGCTTTCCCTGGAACCCATCAGCCTGTCGCCAACAGGACCCTGGGTAAGCAGCCTCAAGGTGTTGTGGGCCCACCAGTGGCCACTGGAGGCAGCGGTAGACTCAGACCATGAGGAGGTTGGGGAGGAACATGGGCCGGTCCTGGAGTTTGGGGAGGGCTCGGACGAGGGCTCTGCGTCAGATTCAGAGATGGGGTCAGGGCCCTCTGACAGTTATCAGCTGCCTTTGGAGTCGGAGATCAGTGGGGAAGAAGAACAGCCGGAGCCTGTTCCCAGTGTGTGCATGCACAGAGCTGCCAGCAGAAGGGAACAGTCAAGTAACAAGGGTCGACTCGGGAGTAAAGCCACAGGTGGGCGGTGAATGGCCCCTCCCAGAGGGAATAAAGAGGAGCAAAAGGGGTTTGCAGGGGAGAATTAGTTCAAGTCATTCGGGTGAAGATCTGTTCCCGACTTCTTGCCAAGTAATTGCTGCTACAGCGTGGCATTTGGAAGCTATCGGCCTGGCAACTCTCCTAGGTCAGAACACAAGAGATGGGAGGATCATCAGATCTTGCATGGTGTACGATCCTCTCCTCACCGCTCACCTAGCCTTTAAGATCAACTTACCCAATGCAGGTAGACCCCAATTGAGCCCCAAATTTCTGCAGGCTTACCCAAGAGCACGAAGTCGACTCCTTGTCCTGATAAAACCCCTTTTATTTTAGGTTAAAGGGAATTCCCCTCCAGCAAAGTCCCACCCAACAGTCTTTCATGAGATTTCACAACTACAGACCTTTATCAGGCTTGGAGAGTTGCCAGGCTGATAGCTTCCAAACGCCACACTGTAGCAGCAATTACTAGGCAAGAAGTCAGGAACAGGTCTTCACCCGAACAAAGTGAACTAATTGTCTCCTGCAAACCCCTTTTGTTCCTCTTTATTCCCTCTGGGAGGGGCCATTCACTGTCCACCTGTGCCCTTACTCTCGAGTTGACCCTTGTTCCTTAACTGTTCCCTTCTCCTGGCAGCTCTGTGCATGAGCATACAGGGAACAGGCTCCGACTGTTCTTCTTCGCCACTGATTTCCGACTCCCAAGGCAGCTGGTAACTGTTGGACGGTCCTGGCCCCATCTCTGCCTTCGACGCAGAGCCTTCCCCAGATTCCAGGACTGGCCCCGGTTCCCCCCAAACCTCCTCACTGTCCAAATCTGCCACCAGCTCTGCTGGCTGCCAGAACAGTTCTCTCCCGTTTTATGACCTTTCTTTTCCCTGGCTGTTTGGTGAACTGCTGCAGTTCTGGCATCGGTAAACACGATTGTAGCACAGATCTGATCTTCTGCCCTTCCCATCCATGCAGGGCCACCCTGCGGGCGCTACGAGTTCCACTGCCACAGTGGGGAGTGCCAGCCGCGGGGCTGGGTGTGCGACAATGAAGCGGATTGCCTCGATGGCAGTGACGAGCTCCACTGCAACCGCACATGTGAACTGGACCAGTTCCCTTGCGCCCACGGGGCAGAGTGCATCCACTACCAGCAGCTCTGCGATGGCGTCCCACACTGCCAGGACCAGTCCGACGAAAGTGTGGACACCTGTGGTGAGCGGTCTCTTCTCCCTGGTGCACTCTTGACTCTCGTTCCTCCGTTTCTCTAGACCGGGGGTGTCAAACTCAATTTAATTGAGGGCCGCATCAGAGCTGTGGTTGACCTCAGGAGGGGAGGGGGGGCGTGGCCAACTGGGTGGGCATTGTTGTGTTTCACCGGCAGCCTGTGCTGATGGCAGCAGAAGAACAGGGACCAGTCTGGGAGTCTGGGGAGGACTCAGACAAGAGCCCTGCGTCCGATACAGAGATGGGGCCAGGACCACCTGGGAGTGGGGTGCTGTCTCTGGAGCCCCCAGAGTCTCTCAGCAGCAAGGCAGAGGACCCAGGGGAGCCTGTTCCCAGTGTGCATGTGTGCAGAGCTGCCAGAAGGCAAGAGCAGCTGAGACAAAACAGGCAACTCAGGAATAAGGTTTGGAGGTGATTGCCCCTCCCCTAAGATATAAAAGAAGTGCAAAGGTAGGAAAACATTTGCAGGAAGCAAAGTCCTTTGTTTGGGTTCAACCTTGAAGCTCTGTGGGGACTTTGTACTCCAGTTGGGGTTTTTACAATTTGGCACTTTAGTTCGAAGGAGAGAAAGGTGGGTGCTTATCTCGAGGGACTGTTTGGGACTCATTACGGGCTGGGAATGAACATAATTCCCAGCCATTGAAATAAAACAAGACTTGTTTGGACGAAGCGTGTGCTTAATTACGATCTCAGGAAGCCTTGGTCAGGACAGGCATGGCCAGCTTCATGCCAGTCACTGGGCATGACCGACTGGGTAGGGGTGGCCAGCTGGGTGGGCGTGGCCAGCTTGATGCCACTCCCCAAACTGCTGGCCAGTTTCCTCTCAGCATCGGGTAGACCAGGCCGAAGTGACGTGGGACATCTCCTTAAATTTTCCAGGATGGCCCCATGAGCTGGATGTGACCACATCGCTCGCTGCATCCAGCCCACGGGCCTTGAATTTGACACCCCTGCTCTAGGGTCATTTTCTCACTCTCGCCCAACCAAGCAAGACCCAAGCAAAAATGTCAAGACACAATAAATGTGGACATGAAAAATAGCTACTTGGACCCAGATGTCTGCATTTGCAGAATGGTATAATTCACACACACACACACACACACCTGGCTAGCTCTTCCCAGCTGTCTTTCCTCATCCGACTGTCTGCAGACAACTCGCCACAGGAAAATTCAATGCAGGATCACTCAAACTAGGGAGAACAGAATTGCAACTCAGCCCAGACTTGAGGACTGCAAGCTTGAGAAGATTTAAATCTAAAGCAAGACAAAGCCCGCTGCAATTTGCTTGTCCTTCCCTTGAATTGTCCCTTTGGCAAGTTGGCCGAGGTGAGTTATCCAGTGGTGAGTTGACTGGAGCGAGTTGTCAGCGTCGAGTTGTCCTAGACCTTCTGTGTTTGATTGTACAAAATAGTGTCCATCGATCCGAAAAGCGGACCCTGCACCTGTGGGAAAACTGTGATGATGACGATAAAGGTGACACGTCTTCTTTGTCTTGGAGGCAGGCTCCACGCAGATCCCCCCTTGCCCCGGGTTCTTCATCTGCAATGACCGGATGTGCATCAACGTATCCCGGGTGTGCGATGGCTCGCCCGACTGTTCCCAGGGAGAAGATGAGCTCGCCTGCGGTAAGGAAAGAAGGAGTGTGCAGCCGAGTCAATTCTCGGGAAAGGGGCGCAAAATATGGGTGGGGTGCCAGGGAGGGATTGAGTCTGTTGTGGTCCAACAGCAGCCTGCAGAGCTGGCAGCAGAGCTGGATAGTGGGGAGGAACATGGGCCAGTCCTGGGGTCTGGGGAGGACTCAGACGAGGGTTCTGCGTCCGATACAAAGATGGAGTCAGGGCCGTCTGGGAGTTATGTGTGACTCCGAAGCCTCCAGAAGCTGACAGCAGCAAGGCAGAGGAATAGGAGGAGCCTGTTCCCAGTGCGCGAGTGCGCAGAGCTGCCGGAAGGCAAGAAGTTAAAGACAAAAGGGGTGACTCGGGAGTAAGGCTTGGATGTGACTGGCTCTCCCATAAGACATAAAGGAGAAGCAAAGGGACAGGAGCCTTTGCAGGAAGCAACTTTGTTCATACTGGTCAATTTGAAACCTGAAGCTCCATGTTGAATTTGTGCTCCATTTGGTCTTATACAACTTGGCAATTTAGTCGTCAGCAGCATTTCAAGAAACATAAAGATCCGTGCTTATCAAATTTATCCTGAAGGACTTTGGCAGACTTCCATGGGACTATTTACAAACTGTTTGAGACTCATTACGGGCTGTGAATGACTATAATTCACAGCTGCTGAAATAACAGGTTTTGGGGACTAACGTGTGTTTGTTAATGTCTCAGGAAGCCTTGGTTAGAGCAGAATCTACCTGGAAGGGCACTTTAAATCACCCCCATTTGCACTTTCTGAAGATTTAACTTGATTTAAATAATCAAAATGGCTTCCACACGTACAGGTAGCCTTCAACGTACAACTGGTTGGTAGTTAGATGGAGCTACCTGGAGGGCACTTACATCGGTTTGACATTTTGACAGCCGACCCCACATGTCAAGCACTGGCGACCGTGCCTGTGATGACCCGGAGTGTAACACAAACATAACAAAATTCAAAACGTAAATATATGTCCTTTAATGCCTCCAACTAGGCCCCACTGTTCAATAATTCTCAGTTGGCGATAAAACGTACTCAAAAATAGTCTGAACTTAATGAGCAGATAGAGGTGAAATAAAAAAAACAAATGACAACGACAAAATTTCCACAACAGACCAGGATAAGTAATTACCAAATTCAAGGAGATAACAAGGCACAGTCTATTGGAAGCACGCCAACCAAGATAACTTCAGCCCAAAAGAAAACACATTTTGCTTCTGGCAACACTGCGTTGTAATGGTCTCTCTTATATACTAGCCTCCCCAGCTGCAACCAATGAGGGGGATCATGGCCGCTTCCTCTCTCGTAAGCAAGTTGTTTCCTTCTCCGTTCCTCCCTTCATGTCTTAGGATGAAGAGGGGATGGGCCTGGTTCTTGCTCTGACTGCCCAGCCGGCCTCTGACACAACCTCCGGAGCCACACCTCTACTCCCTGTCGGTTGTTCCTCCTCTCCCTCAGAGTCCAACTCTAACTAGGGCATGATAGTGCCCGTTTGCCGCATCCCACAGTTGCATGATCTTGATTGCCCAATTGTCTCACACAATGACATGATCGTACGTGATGGTGTGCCGTGAAAAGATCTCAGAAAGATCGGATCAATTTTTCCTCCTCCCCTCAAGCCACAGGTCGAGATTATAACACTTTCCCCATTTACATTTGATAAAAAATACTAGGTTACTTAAGAAGACGTGGAAATGTATATATTGGTCAATCCAATTGTCCCGGCACCCATTCGCTGTATTAATAAAAGTCACCAATAGGTAATCCCAAATGTAAAATAATCAGTTAACCACCTGTTATCGTATTTAACACGCAAGGAAATGGATGCCTCTTGAGTGACGGAGGAGAGTGGATGATGAGTGTGGCGGTACTGGTATTGGCTCTGATGGCTGCTTGTTCTTACCCCCGATAGAAATCCCGGTGGCTCCACCAGGCAAAAGGAATCAGACAGTTGGTCCGTGTCCGGAATATTCTTGCAGCGATGGTGCCTGTATTGCCTTTAAACAGGTGCAGTGAGGAGTCGGTTCCTCTCCTTTTCTTGTCTTCTCTGATCACCGCTCTCCTTCTTTTCATTGCTGTTTCATTCCTTCATTTACTCTGATGTAACCTCTGGATAGATTATGGAATCAGAGTAGTGCAGTGGCCTAGAGGTGGAGCCTCTCGCCTCACAATCAGGAAGCTGTGAGTTCAATCCAAAGTAGAGGCAGTTACTTCTCTCTCTTGGCACAATGAGAATATATCTGTTGAACAAAACTCTGCATTGGTGACAGGGAAGGGCATCCGGCCATTAAATGCTCAGCTCCATTCAGTTGCTCTGACTCCCCCCACAAGGAATTATGGGGTCATTAATTGACAAAGAAGATAGATTACAGAATCTATAATAGCAACACCATGTAAACAGCACGTACACAGCTCTGTTTGCGTGAGTGGTGGGCGTGCATGCCCACCACTTGCGTAAATGGAGCTGTGTGTGTACAATCACTTGTGTGTCTGTTGCACGCGCAAGTGGAGCTGCACACCTGTCTCTCGTGTGGAACCATCTCCTCTTCAACTCCCAGCTGGTCCACAATTCTGGAAAGGTTGAAGATCAGTGGACTAGATGACCTCCAGAGTCCCTCCCAACTCTTATTCTGTTATTCCTAACATCTTTGAGGTTGCCCCTGGTGGCAGAAAGGGGAGGGCAGTCTAGAGGGGCTCCTGCGCCTCCCATTTTCAGAGCCCATTCATGCCTCTTCTGGTTGCGCATCCTTGCAGGTGTGCAACGGTTTGGCCAACTGCGCAGACGGCACGGAAGCTTCAGGTTGGCTGCCCTCCGATGAGCGGGACTGCGGCCTCTGGACGCCCTGGGCAGCCTGGAGCATGTGCAGCCGCTCGTGTGGCACGGGACTCCAGATCCGCCGGAGGAGCTGCACACGGCGGGCGGACGACGTCCTCCGTCACTGTCTCGGAGAGGAGACCCAGGCCCAGCAGTGCTTCCTAGTGGCTTGTCCCGGTAAGAGCGGGCTTTGGGACCCTTGCCTCCTTTTAGCGGACTCCGTTCATACGTTCAACACAATTTGGTGCGGATGCCTGATCCTGTCCTGGTTTCGTCCGCAGCCATTCAGTGATCAGTTCCCTCTGTAGCTGTTGTGGTCCGTCGACTGCCAGCAGAGATGGCAGTCGAGTCAGAGGAGTCAGAGGAGACGGAGGGGGTGCCCGGGTTACCAGCGGAGCCAGCGGAAGGCTCTGAGGAACAGGAGGTCTCAAAGCCAGGTGCAGAGCAGGGCCATCTGCTAACGCTCAGGCGGAGAGACAGCTGTTTTGGGGGCCTGAGATGAGGGAGGGGGAGGAACAGCTGGGCCCTGTCCCAGATGCACGTATGCGCAGAGAAGTGTAGAGAGGAGAGCAACGTAGGACTGAGGCCCAGCTATCCAGGAAGAGAAGGAGCTTTAAGAAAGTTCAAAACATTCCCAAAGATTTTTTTTTAAAATTATTACCATCTGCCAGACGGTACACAGGATAATAATAAAAACAAGGACAACGAGGCTGAAAAACAACTTCTATCCCAGGGCAGCAACTCTGTTGAATTCTACTATATAGTGCAATATTCATGCAGTATTGTGGATTTTCAATTCAGTGTATAGAATGTGAAGGAGGTGTGTTTGTGTTTTATTTTCCTAGTCATAAATTGTACACTGAGGATGGTATTTAATTTCGTTGTTCAAGGTGCAATGACAATAAAGTAAAGTAAAGTAAACTAGACTGATTTGGGGCTCATGAAGAGTAGCGCCTTGTTAAGGGGTCTATGATAGCTTGGCTCCAAACATAGGACATAATATAAATTTGACAGAGTGGGAAAGCATTTGGAACCTAAATTATAAACTAACAAAGATATATCCCAACATGAATCCAGCATGTTGGAAATGTAGAAAGAAGGAAGGTACCTTCTGTCACATGTAGTGGTCTTGTCCAGAAGCTCAGAAATATGGGCTTAAAATCAAACAAGGGCTGAAAGAAATTCTTAAGGAACAATTTAGAATTGGAACCAGAACTATTTCTGTTAGGGATATTCAAAAAGAAATATGAAAAAAAATATAAAATATATCGTATTACGTATCTTAACGGCCACTAGAATAGCTTATACTCCATGCTGGGAGCACTACTGCATACCCTCGGATGAACTGATTGTTCAAAAAATAATGGCTTCTGCTGATAATAGACAAACTGACTTTAATGTACAAGAGAAAGAGCAGTCTGAATACTACAGAATTTAGGGGGAAATTGTATAATTGGATCGAATTAAGACAGACAAAAAATGAAGGAATTAAAGACAAGCAACTTATAGATTAAATGTATATATTCGCACAGAATTGTGTATATTTGTAAATATGCACAAAGGATAGAAATGGATGAGATGGATGTCGCAAAACTGTTAACGTCATGATATTTATTTATTTATTTATTTTTAAAATATACAAAAGACTAATAAAGTGTATTTTTTAAAAAAGAAAAAAGAATAGTAGCTCCTGGCACGTTCGATGTAGGACAGTGGTGGCTAACCTTTTTGGGCTCCTGTGCCAAAAATTGTGTGCACACTTGCATGCTTGCACTCATGTGCAAGCACCCAGAAGGCAATGCGTGCCCCACCCATGCCCTCTATGTATGCGCATGCAATCCCCCCCCCCCCCCCCCCCCCCCCCCCCCCCCATCCCTGCACTGCACCTCACAGCTAATTTTTGGCCAGTTTGAGGCCTTTTTCAGCCTCCCAGAGGCTCAAGTAAGGCTTCTGCAGGCTTTTCAAGCCGAAAACTAGCCCCGTTTTGTCACTTCCGGTATTGTCAGAAAAACAGGAAGTGATGAAACGGGCCTAGTTTTCTGCCCACAAAGCCTGCAGAAGCCTGCAGAAGCCTTCCTCAAGCCTCTGGGAGGCCAAAAAAGGCCTCAAACCAGCCAAAAATCAACTGTGAGGTGTGCACATGCACAGTGAGGTAACTTTGCCTGCAGCTCGCGTGCCGGTGAAAATGACTCTGCGTGCCACCTATGGCACGCGCCATCATGGACGTAGGAGATACTTCATTCTCAGGGACCTAGGTATCACCTCATTCTCTCTCTCTCTTTCTCTCTCCCAAAAAGTGGACGGCCAGTGGCGTGAATGGGCTACATGGTCCAACTGCACCGAGGACTGCCGTGGAGTGGTAGTCCGTCACCGTGAATGCCTCCCATCCCAGAATGGTGGCCGCCACTGTACCGAAGGGCCGGATGGATCCGCTGGTTCGATAGAGATCCGTAAGTTGGTCAGGGATTATGGGCAAATAAGCGGCAGGAAAGTGGGACGAGGCAGTCACTAACAGCCAGTCTTCGATGTAACAACACTTCGTTCAGTATCCAAAGTTGCGATGGTGCCGGGGGGGAGAAAGGGCTTTACGCCTGTTTTTCCCACCTCTTGGGGGTCACATGATCAAAATCCAGAGTTTGGCAACTCCTGTTTATGACGGTGGCAGTGTGATCCCCTTATGTGACCGCATGACAAGTAAAGTCAATGGGGGGAGCCAGATTCACTTCTGTACAACCAATTGCAGTGATTTGTGAATCGATTTATGACCTGGCAAGACAGGTCATAAAATGGGGGCAAAACTCCCTCAACTAATGTCTCACTTAAATATTGGAGTTTGCTGGCAGATGACACAGAGGGCAGCAGTCAATCGGACAGCAGGGAAGAACGGGGACCAGTCCAGGAGTCTGGAGAGGACTCGGATGAGGCTCCTATGTCCGATACAGAGATGGGGCCAGGACCACCTGGGAGTGGGGTGCTGACTCCGTAGCCTTTGGAGTCTGGCAGCAGCGAGGCAGAGGACCCAGGGGAGCCTGTTCCCAGTGTGCGTATGCACAGAGCTGCTAAAAGATGAAAGCAGCTGAGACAAAAGGAGCGACTTGGGAGTAAGGCTGGGGGGTGATTGCCCCTCCCCTAAGGGATAAAAGTCAGGCCAAGATGACGAAACCTTTGCAGGAAGCAAAGTAGTTCAATCGGTTCCGAAGCATCTCTCCTTCAGTTGGTTTCTTTTCTAGTTCATTGGATACTTCTGTTTTTGGCAGCACTTCACAGAACTGAAAGGTGGGTGCTTATCTCGGGAAACTGTATGAGCTTAATTCTGGCTGGGAATGAAAACAAGCCATCACAGATATAACAGATAACAGATCATCAGAGTTGGAAGGGACCTTGTAGGTCATCTAGTCCAACCCCCCCTGCCCAAGCTGAACCATGAGACCCTCAATGTCCTGATTGTCGTGGCTCGGGTGAAAAGCCCCCTCTGCCCCTGCATGCTAATTTTCATCCTCATCAATTCAATAACACTTAAGCAACAGAAAGTTGGGCCTCAATTGGGGGTCGTAAGTTGAGGACTAACTGTACTGGATGTCCTGCAGAATGACAGGACACGCCTCCATGCTGAGGCTGGGCTCTGCCCGACACAAACCGTGACAATGAACACAAAATAGGACCATTTGTGTCTGCTTTTTGCCTTCGGAAGTTGTGGGAGCTCCCTGCCTGGAAGCCTTCGAGAAGAGTCTGGATGGCCATCTGTTAGAAACAGGTGTAGAGTCTCCTGCTTGGGTGGAGGGGGTTGGACTAGATGTTCTACAAGGTCCCTTCCAACTCTGTTATTCTGATTAACACAAAAAAAACACAACTAGGACAACTAACTGACTGAACAGCTTGCTGCCAGAACGTCCCTCCATCTTACTCTCCCTCCCTCTCTTCCTTCCTTCCATACTTTCCCACGTCCCTCTCCCTCCCTTCCATTCTTTTGTTCCTTCTTTCCTCCCTCCTTCCCTTCCACCTTCCCTCCCTCCCTTCTTTCCTTATTTCCTTCGTTCCATCCTTTCCCCCTCCTTCCCTCCATCTTTTCCTTCCTTTCTCCCTCCCTCTCTTCCTTCGTTCCTTCTTTTCTTCCTTCCTCCTTCCTTCCTTCTTTCCTTCATTCCATCCTTTCCCCCTCCCTTCCTCCATCTTTTCCTTCCTTCTTTTTTCCTCCCTTTCTTTCTCCCTCCCCCCTCCCTTTCTCCCTCCCCCTCTCCCTCCATGGTTTTAAGATGAGACCGGACAGCCCCTTGTCTCAAATGATAGAGGGTCTCCTGCTTGAGCAAGGGGGCTGGACTAGAAGACCTCCAAGGTCCCTTCCAGCTGTCTTCTGATTGATCAATTGATTCTGATTTGATTTAAATATTGGCCCGCTTCCTCCCTTGGCAGAGTTGTGTCAACGCGAGGACTGTCTCAATGCCTCCACTTGCCCGGGGGAGTTGGTGAGCCAGAAGTGCGCCCCGTGTCCCACCTCCTGCACTGAGCTCTCCAGCCGTACAAGATGCCGGAAGGACAGGCCTTGCCGACCAGGTAAGTGCGTAGCTGAATGTCTGGGTACTTGGTCGGTATACGTTTTTGGTGTCCGTCAGTGGCGTGCTGGACTCATGCGCCCGGAGAATCTGCTAAAAGTCTGGATAGATTACACCCATTTGTCCCGCTTGATCAAGGGAGTTGGACTAGAACATTGGTCGCCAACTGGAGGGCCACAGCCCACTGGTGGCCCGCAAGAAAATGTTGGTGGTCCACAGAGAAATCTCACCCCCAGAGCACCCCCCCCAAAGCAATTAATCCAGGCTGCGCAGAAACACAAGGCTGCACCGCCCACATGGCCCGCGGGAACCCTCCCCACCCCACTCACTCCTTACCCCGCAAACTTGCCTGCTAAGTTGCTATTTTTCTGACCATCAGCTGTTCTGCTGTGCCAGGAGATTTAGATTAGCTAGGAAGCAGGAAATGGTTGGATTTCTTGCTTTCTAGCTAGTCTAAGCAGAGCCGAACCTCCCTTAGGACTGAATGTTCTATTATTCAGTGCAGACTCAGGCAGCCAATGGCAGAAACACATATCTTTGAGAGAATCTTTGATTCTGTGAACAACTCAATCTGCCTGCCCGCTTTGCCTGATTTTGGGTAAAAGTTGCTCTTTTTAAAAAAATATAAAAAATCCAATATTTACATGCATGGTGTGCTGTGAGTTAATTTTGTGAGTTTGCTTGCAAGCAAATTTGATGTGACAGACTCAGGTAGCAGATTGCAGAAAGATAGATCTCGGAATGAATCTGTGATTCTGTGAGCAACTCAATCTGCCTGCCTGCTTTGCCTGATTTTGGGTAAAAGTTGCTCTTTTTTAGATAAAAAATTCAATATTGACATAAATATTTATAATATTGACATACAAGCCATGACCAGCCAGTCGCATGACCACCAAGCTACACCCACAAATTAGGCCACACCCACAGAACCAGTTGTTAAGAAATTTGAATCCCACCTGTGCCTCTGTGTGTTTGTGTGTGTGAGAGAAAGAGAGGGGGAGGTTAGATCGGATCTCTCTCTCTCTCTTTCTTTCTCTCTCTCTCTCTCCCTCCCACCAGTCAGCAAGCCACCCTCAGTCAAAATTCACATTAGTGGTCCCCGGGATTTAAAATTATGAGTTTGGTGGTCCCTGAGGTCCAAAAGGTTGGCGACCCCTGGACTAGATGACCTCCAGGGTCTCTTCCAACTCTCTGTTATTCTGTTCATTCTGCTGTTCCATAATTCTATCCAGTGATGGGCTGCAACCGGTTGAACAACCGGCTTTGTGAGTGCATGCGTTGTGCGTTGCAGCATTCAATAAATGCCCCTTTTGAACCTCTCTGGCTCACCTTCTCTCAGTAAGTAGAACAGCCGAGGTGCGGCAATCCACTTTGCTGCGTGAATCAGCTGAGCTGTAAACAAAGGAAATGTGAGAGAGGATTGAGCAGGGGTGGGTGAGCGGGGCCAACTCATAGTTGTTTGTACCCGTTCGCCGGAACCAGTGCGAATCGGTAGCAGCCCATCCCTGATTCTTTCAATCTGTTAGTCCCAAGATGGTGAACCTATGGCACGCGTGCCACATGTGGCACGCAGAGCCATTTGTGCTGCCACGTGAGCTGCTGGCAAACTTACCTCACTGTGCAAGCGCGTACCTCACAGCTGATTTTAGGCCATGTTGAGGCCTTTTTTAGCCTCCCAGAGTCTTGAGGAAAGCTTCTGCAGGCCAAAAACTAGCCCCGTTTCATCACTTCCTGTTTTCCCAACAATACCAGAAGTGATGAAATGGGGCTAGACATTCTGCTATTCTGTTGTTCTGCAATTCTATTATTGTATTGTTCTGCTATTTTGTTGTTCTGCCATCCGTCTGACATTCTGCTGTTCTGTTCTGCTATTCTGTCATTTTGCTGACATTCTGTTATTCTGTTTTGCTGTCCTGACTTTCTGCTATTCTGCTATTCTGTTCTGCTATTTTGTTATTCTGCAATTCTGTGGTTCTGTTCCTCTGCTATTGATATTCTGCCATCCCATTAGTCTGTTATTCTGCTGTTCTGTTCTGCCATTCTGTCATTTTGTTATTCTGTTCTGCTATTCGGACATTCTGCTATGTTCTATTGTTCTACTATTTTATTATTCTGCCATCCCATTAGTCTGACATTCTGCTGTTCTGTTGTTCTGCAATTCTGTGCTTCTGTTGCTCTGCTATTGTTATTCTGTCATCCCGTTAGTCTGTTATTCAGCTGTTCTGCTATTCTGTCATTTTGTCATTGTGTTATTGTGTTCTGCTTTGTTGACATTCTCCTATTCTGTCATGCTGACATTCTGCTATTCCGTTTTGCTATTCTGTCATTCTGCTGTTCTGTCATTCTGTTATTCTGTCACTATTCTATTATTTTCTTGTTCTGCTATTCTGCCTGGTGATGATATTCAGCCAGTGTAACAACCAGTTCAGTACACATTTTCAGCTCTAAAAGTTGCCTTCTGCTGCAACCCCACTGAATAAAACAGCAGAGGCACAGCAGTGAGTCAGCTGAGCCGCAAAACACAGGAATATAAGACACGCTAGGGCAGGGTTGGGTGGGTGGGATCAATTAATTGCCAGAACTACCAGTTCACCCAAACTGGTCCTAACCGGCAGAATCCCACTCCCAATTCTGCCATCTCATTATTCTGTCATTCTGCTATTCTGTTCTGCCATTTTTTGGCTCAGTTATTCAGTGCTATTCTGTCATTCTACTATCCTGTCGTTCTGCTAGTCTGTTACTCTGCTATTACGGTTATCCTCTTATTCTCTCCTCTGCAAGGATGCTGGTGCCCAGAAGGCCTGGTCTTGAACAGTGAGCAGCAGTGTGTGCGTCCACGAGAGTGCCCATGCCAAGTGGCCGGTGTCCGCTACTGGCCTGGCCAGTTGGTCAAAGTCAACTGCCGGATCTGCACTTGCCAGGAAGGACAGATGAAACGTTGCCGGCAGAACCCGGAGTGCACAGGTCAGTTTCGCCTTGGGCTCCCTCCCGCTTTTACTCCTTTGGGTTGAGGTGGATGGGGCGGCGTCTTTCCTTCCCCAGAAAGACCCCCTCTTTGGTCCCCATGCCAAATTTATTCACTCTTGCTCTGCAGTCAACTGCGGTTGGTCGGCGTGGTCACCATGGGGTGAATGTCTGGGTCCCTGTGGGGTGCAGAGCATCCAGTGGTCCTTCCGGAGCCCCAACAATCCCATCAAGCACGGCAATGGGCGGCAGTGCCGGGGCATTTACCGCAAGGCCCGGAGGTGAGCCTGCAACACCCCCCCACAATCCCACACAGAAGACCAAACAAAGGAGTATCAGTGTTGGGCGCAATAACCTGGTATCCAGCATTCAAAAACACCACGGACTTCTGGAATTCCTGGGCGGGAGAGCCATTTTTTGCTGTTTTCCGCATGGTCCGTACACTTACCTGCATCCAAAGCAGGCTGCGTGGAGACTCGTGGGAAGGAAGCGGCAGTGTGGGTGGGGCCAGCCGGTTGGTTCAACTACCGGTTCAGCGAACCAGATATAAATTTAACATCCGGTTCGCCTGAACTAGCTGGAACTGCTGAATCCGACCTCTGGGTACATCCCCTTCCACTCTGCCCCTCTTGGCTACCTCGTGTGGGTGAAAAGGTGTCTCCTCCACGTCCGTTGCAGATGCCAGACGGAGCCGTGCGAAGAGTGCGAGCACCATGGCCGGACTCACGCCATCGGCGACCGCTGGCGTTCTGGCCAGTGCCAAGTCTGCCAGTGTTTGCCGAATCTCACCGTCCAGTGCTCCCAGTACTGTCCCTACAGCGCGGTGGGCTGCCCCGAGGTAAGCCTGCCCCCCTTCGGTTCTTCTTCGATCTCTTGGGGGGGTCCAATCCTTCGGCTGAACCTCCTCCTTCCGCCTGGCAGGGCCGGGTGCTGGTGAAGGGCCGAGCAGACGCCTGCTGTTACTGCACGGAAGGGGGTAAGTCCTTAAAGGGGGCAGGGAGGATGTGGGGCAGCGATCGCACAGGTTGCGTATATTGTCACCACTGTGGGGAGTCACATTTGTGTAGAAATACACAACGTTGCTCCATCTCGCTAGCTTTAATGAAGTTTGGACTTCAACTCCCAGAAGTCCCCTTGGTGTGCTGGGAATAGAAATCCATCCCTCTTAAAGCATAACTGGGTGGGGGCATTCTGGGAATTGAAAGCCAACCCCTCTTAAAGGATGCCGGCTAGGGAATTCTGGGAGTTGAAGTAGCTCACCCCTCTGAAAGACTGCTTCACTACTAGTAGCTGTGTTCACACAACATCCCAAATATCAGTCCACCTGAACCTGGGTCTGGAGTTGGTGGGGAGTTGGTGGTGCCAACTCATAAAATATTTCTATGGTCTTTTTAGAGTTGCCAACTATTCTATTCTATTCTACGCTATGCTATGCTATTCATTTTCTATCCTATCCTGTTCTATTCTATTCCTATTCTATTCTATTCTAAATTTCTATTCTATTCTATTCTAAATTTCTATTCTATTCTATTCTGAATTCCTATTTTATTCTTAATTCCTATTCTATTCTAAATTCCTATTCTATTCTAAATTCCTATTCTGTTCTATTCTTTTCCTATTCCATTCTATTCTAAATTCCTATTCCATTCTGTTCTGAATTCTTCTATTCTATTCCTATTCTATTCTATTCTGAATTCTTCTATTCTATTCCTATTCCTATTCTATTCTGAATTCCTATTCTATTCTATTCTATTCTGAATTCCTATTCTATTCTAAATTCTTATTCTATTCTGAATTCCTATTCTGTTCTATTCTGAATTCCTATTCTATTCTGAATTCCTATTCTATTCTATTCTGAATTCCTATCCTATCCTATCCTATCCTATCCTATCCTATCCTATCCTATCCTATCCTATCCTATTCTATTCCACCCTGTCGAATGCCTCTGTGCTGTGTTTCAGGGGAGAACCGGACCGCCGTCCCCAGCACTCTGCCTCTGGGACCCCTGGGGACCACCCGAGCCAGCTCCCCACTCTACCCCACCGCTCCTCCACTCAGCACGTACCCCCTGCCTCCGTTCGGCGGTAAGGAAGACCACGTCCCGTGTTGCCCTTTTTGTGGGAAACCCTCTGCCACACATGGTTCTGGTCTGACCGTATTCCTGCCCCCTCGACTGTCTTCCGCCTGCACAGATCTCTGCTATGGCCCCCTGGGCATCGCCTCCCTTCCCGACGCCAGCTTCACCGCTTCCGCCCAACAGCCGGAGAACCCGGCCCATGCCGCTCGGCTCGGACTCCTGTTGCCCGGGGCCGACTTGCAGGGCTGGGCCCCTCCGGCAGAGGTTTATCCGGAGCTGCTCTCTAGGCCTCCCTTCCTCCAAGTGGATTTGAGGGAGCCCAGGAACCTGACAGGTAAGTGCCGGGTCCAGACGAATGGGACGACTTCCTGTGGCCAATTCTTTTTTTTACCTCATGGCCAGTTGCAGACTTTCCTTGAAGCTCCACGAAGAGTTTTGGGTCGAAACTGGAGTAAAATAGGAGATAGGTCTCCTTCTTTCTCTTCCTCTCCCTCTCCCTCTCTCTCCCCCTCTCTCCTTCTCTCTCCCTCTCGTCCCCTTCCCCCCTCTCCCCTCTCTTCTCTCCCCCTCTCTCTCCCTGTCCCTCCCTTCCTCCGTGTGTGTGTGTGTGTGTGTTGCAGAAATCCTCTATCTTGAGGTTCCCCGTGGTGCTTGCCGGATGCTTCTGCCATTGCAGGCATCCAAGCACCTGGAGTTTCCCGGACATTCATCGATTTCCCTCCATCTTCCCCAGGAGTCGTGATCCAAGGAGCAGGGACCTCCGACGCCTACGTGACTAGCTTCTTCCTCCAGTTCAGCCTGGATGCTGCGAGATGGCACGACTACCAAGAGGTCCCCAGGAGCGCCAGGCCTGAACCGAAGGTGAGGAGAGAGAGCTCCTCCTGGAAGGGGGTGCCAAGTCCAAGGCCCAAAGCTTGGCCTGTAAGGAGGAGTGGGATTCCGCTGGTTCGGGCCAGCTTGGGCGAACCAGATGTTAAATTTACATCTGGTTTGCTGAACCGGTAGTTGAACTGACCAGCTGTCCCCACCCACCTCTCCCCACCCCTCCCAGGAGTCTCCATGACCCACACGGCACATTTTGGATACAGGTAAGCGCAGAGTCCGCATGGAGGCTCCAAGACGAAGAAAAACAGCCCTCCCGGAAGTACCGGAAGTCTGGAAACAGGTCTGGAACCTGGGAGAGGCCATTTTCTCCCTCCCAGAGACCCGCAGGAAACCTCCGGACTCTGGGGAGGCCAAAAACAGCTCTCCCGGAAGTACTGGAAGTCTGTAAAGAGGCCTGTTTCCGCCTTCTGGAGGACCTCAGGAGTCCAGGGGA